CTACCAGAGTTCCCGGAATGTTTACATGGTCACTGGTTAATGATGTTATTCTGTATGCTTAAGGCAGTGGGCAAGATGTATCAGACACCCAGCACTGTTTAATGCAAACACCAAGATTTATCATGTGTACTTGGTACTTTGAAATCTGCACCATGGCTGTTTGTGTGGCTACATGAAAAGGCCCCTTTAAGAACTATGGCCCCCAACATTCAAGTAGACTTTGCTGGGCAGTGATATTTTGCTGTTTTTGTGGTTCACAGTGCATCTCTGCAGCCTTTGCAAGGGGAGGACCTAGGAAGCCAGCACCTGACTGCTCTAGCCTTTGCCTATGCATATACATATATTTCTCTGCTGTCCTTGCAACTTAGCCTTTGCTATAATAAGCTTTGAGTCAAAAATAATAACTTTATGTTGAATCATGTGATTCTTTCGGGCAAATCACTCAACTAGTGGGTAGTTGTGGGGCCCCTGGAACACATCTTCTCACTCCAGCTTCCAAAAAGTAAATATTTCTGACAAGAGAACTGTGTGGCATTTGGGTTTAAAAAGGCTGTTAAATTCTATATAGACCAGTGTGCATATAATACTAGGCAAAGTTTTTGAATAATAAAATCTATATGATTTAATGTGTTGGATCTTGATAACCTGAGGTACAAAGAAATTACATGAATATAATAAATTAACTTGCATGGTTCAGGAGGGGATTGGATTATTTGAGTTAACCAAACATTTTGGTTAACCATATTTTCAAACGATGGAATATACTAAAATCAACTCTAGACCAAACAGTATTGATTTTAGTTTATGTTCTGAGATAACTGAGATGGTGACTATTTGATGCCAGTGCTAGCACAGGGCTTGAAAGGCATTCATTGATGAATTAGGGAAATAGAATTTAACCTTTCTCTGGGAAGTTTTGAAGTTCTCTAATGCCAAGCGTTATTTTTTGAACATTGTTGTTGTTGTTATGTGCCATTGAGTGGGATCTGATTCATAGCGACCCCTCCTTGGATTTCCAAGGCAGTATCTCTACGAAAGTAGATGCCCCATCGCCCTTCCAAGTTTGAACATTAGTTATTGATATAATTGTGAGATTCAGTTTAAAGTTACTAGAGTCCATCTCTTAGTTAACATCATTTTATTTCCCTATTACCCTTCTAGCATAGTGGCTAAAGCACTTGACTGCTAACCAGAAGGCTGGCGGTTCAAACCCACCAGCCACTCCTCGGAAGGAAGGTTGGGCAATCCTACTTCCGTAGTGATACTGCCTCGGAAACCCAAGGAGGGGCTGCTATGAGTTGGGGCCGACTCGACGGCACATAACAACAACAACAACAATTACCCTTATGAAGAAGATAGAATCTATGCTATCATTTCCATCTACACAAAGAAAAAGCAAGGCACATATTGGCTCAGCTAATGAGCCAAGTATTAGCATAATGGCTAAAACACTTGACTGCTAACCAGAAGGCTGGTGGTTCAAACCCACCAGCCACTCCTCGGAAGGAAGGTTGGGCAATCCTACTTCCGTAGTGATACTGCCTCAGAAACCCAAGGAAGGGTCGGTCGCTATGAGTCGGGGCCGACTCGACGGCACATAACAACAACAACAACAACAAAATGAGCCAAATTTCCATGACTCAGTAATTAGAAGCAAAAGGAAGTCTAGAATCCAGATCTTCTAACTGAGCAATGTGAAAAGTATGTTTATATTTTGCATTGTGCAGCATATGAGGCATATATTAATACTTGAATATAAATAAAAGTAAAAATTCCAACATAGATGGATTTTATAGCTATTCACATAATATAAATTCTAAAATTGTCTAAACAAACAAACAAACAAACTCACTGCCATCCAGTCTTTTCTCTGACTCATAGCCACTCCTTGTTAGGTTACTGAGGTGGTATCTCTGTGGAAGTAGACTGCCCAATCTCCCTTCCAAGGTGTGGCTGGTGGGTTCGAACCACCAGCTTTCTGGTTAGCAGTCAAGTACCTTAGGCAATATGCCACCAGAGCACCGTCAGTATTTGTCTAGTATTTTTTATAATAATAATAATATTTGATGTTTACATAGCCCCTTATTTTAATTGCTTTATTTTTCTATTAAAACATGCTAGTTTATAAATTGCAAGGAACTTTCATCGATATTAACTCATTTAATTCTTGCAAAAACCATTGTGAGGTTAAACAGGGAAGGTATAATTTTTCTTATTTAAGAATTGGTTGTTGTTGTTGTTGTTGTTTTGCCCTTGAGTTGGACCTGACTCATAGCGACCCCTCCTTGGGTTTCCAAGGCAGTATCACTACAGAAGTAGGTTGCCCAATCTTCTTTCCGAGGAGTGGCTGGTGGGTTTGAACCACCAGCCTTCTGGTTAGCAGTCAAATGCCTTAAGCACTATGCTACCAGAGCTCCTTAAGAATTGGTAGTAGAGGTATTAAGAGTGTCTTGGGCAAACTTACAAGGCTGGTAGGTGAACAGCCTTAGTACTAGCAGCACCTATATTACCTGACTATGTAGCGACCCCTCCTTGGGTTTCCGAGGCAGTATCTCTACAGAAGTAGATTGTCCATCTTCCTTCTGACTATAATACATACAGATCTATTATATCTAGTGATTACTCCAATATCAAACTAACCTCTTAAAGACCAATATAGTAGCTAAGAATGATTTTAAGAATAAGGGAAAGTGTGTGAAAATTAGATTTCTAAGACATTCTTCAAGAAGTAATGATTAGGACAGGGTCATATTCCTTTTTCTTTGCATGAAGTAACTCTCAAGGAACTGGAATGATTTTTCAAAGGCAGCTATTACAACTGACTGGAGGTAGAAGTACATAATGGGTACTTAAATATAGCTCAGCACTTTTAATTATTTTTTAATGATCAATTCAATAATTTTCCAAGGAGATCTGGCATAATCAACCAACCAAAACTTCCACTATTTCTTGCATATTTCTAGACTAATTTAAGCTTTTGCTGCAGGTTTAATTAGCATTCAAATGAAGTAGACATTCCTCAGAGAACAAGGGCTGACAGCATGTGCAAAATAAGATCGAACCAAGCTCCTTCGGTTGGTTTATGTACTAATTTGGAGAAAGTGTAAAAATGCAAGAGCTTCATGCAGAGTGAGGTAACCTTAATGAGAGGCTACAAGATTGTTGTGTAGGAGGCTATTTCCAAGGCTAGAGGGAGCATTACGGCCCTTGAGTGTACTCAGAAAAGAGCCGTGCTGCTAAAATTGTGGTTTCTGGACCAGCACCATCAGCCATACTTTAGAG